TCTCTCTCTCTCTCTCTCTCTCTCTCTCTCCAATTGCTATCTGTAACTGTATTTTTCCCAATTAATTAATGGTAGACATCACTCGTGAACACCTGTCCCCCCGCACACTGTGTTTTGGCAGACAATTAATTTTAAATACAATAACTCAATGTGTTTATGGCATACGATTTGTGTGACACAACTATTTCTCCTCTCATATGACCACAAAATATAGTTAGCATTTATTTTAATTACAATTTCAATCATTTTACTTCAAAGTGTGTCTCCAGTTATAGCAACAGAAAAAAATCTCTATTTAAACCAATTGTTAACGTATTTACGAAATTAATTATTACTTATAAGTTATAACGCTTTACGTGATTAAAAACCTATCATTAATCAGTTTTTAAGTGATATCTGTTATACAAGAAACAGATATTTAATTATTATTGAAAAAAGTTAATTTTTTGCTTTAATAACTAAATAAGAAGACAAATACAAACCAATGGACCAAAAGGTAGCTCTCGAGGAAGGCTTGTATCAGACGACCAGCCGTTCCGACGACTGTCTGCCGATTGTCTCTAAGGAAGAGACGGACAAAAGGGACGAGACGTTGAAAAAGTTGACCGATTTATACAAAGAGGTGCTGAAAGCGATCGGCGAAGACCCGGAACGCCAGGGCCTGTTGAAGACACCGCTGCGGGCGGCCAAAGCCCTCTACTATTTCTCGCTGACGAGACGTTGAAAAAGTTGACCGATTTATACAAAGAGGTGCTGAAAGCCATTGGCGAAGACCCGGAACGCCAGGGCCTGTTGAAGACACCGCTGCGGGCGGCCAAAGCCCTCTACTATTTCTCGCACGGCTATCACGTGAAACTGCCGGAGCTGTTGAACGGCGCCATCTTTAACGAAGATCACGACGAAATGGTTATCGTTAAGGATATTGAGATGTTTTCCCTCTGCGAACACCATTTGGTGCCCATCTATGGCCGCGTGTCGATCGGCTATTTGCCCAATAAGCAGGTGCTGGGCCTCAGCAAACTGGCCCGAGTGGTCGAGATGTATGCCCGGAGGTTAACAGGTTAGAGCA